GTACTTTTTTTGTTCGTACTTTATATCGTGTATTACTTCGTTATATCTCGACAACTTGGAAAACAATAAATCGAACCACTCCATAAAGAAATACGAGCTATGCTTTTTCCGTTTGGATTCTATCTTTATAAGTTAATTTATGAGACCGCGCGTAATTCGCGTGTTTGAAAATGTTGTCCTCTTTATATAATTCGATAAAATTAAAATTGATCAAATATTCAAATTATATATCGAAAATACAGTAATGTTTGGTCTTGTAAATATTCTATGTAATTTATTATTAAACATCCGTTTAAATTTATATTCAAATTGGCTATATATAATTAGAAATCTGCCATTGAAAGGCAGGTAATACTTTTACCAAATTTTTCATACTAAAACGTCATTTGTTTATTTAATACGCCTTATATTTTAACGCCGTTTAAATCGAATTAAAGTTTTAAATTCGTAAAATATGTTTTTACGGAATTTATAATACTGTTACTATATAACGTAACAGTGATGATTAAGAGAAAAATTGTTTCGGATACAGATTTGTACTCAAGGGACACTCAAGATGTGTGCTTACTTGGAAACACTTGTTGAGCATCGAGCTAAGATTGTCCGAGCTAAGATGCCACTTGTTGCTTCGTCCTTCCTATAAGGAAATCCAGGTCCCGCACCAGGATACTTAACACTGATAACCGCAGAAATCCTGTATAACTTTGCCGTGAATCGCTTCTGCAAACCGAAGAAGCACAGTCGTTATTATGAAATACTCTTTTGCATATTGCTGCCTGGAAATTTCGCGACTGTATTAAAAGTGTATCACAAATTACTATGGCAAAATTTAACATATAATATATTGAAATGTAAATTCTTGTGTATGATTCTTTTGAAGACTTCGCTCCCATTATCTATCCCATTTCTGTCACGATCGAAATATTCCATTGCCGCTTTGATGATTATAGGAAAGGGGCGTCTCCTGAGGCGGAGGCCACATGTTCGTAGCTCGCTTTCAGATACAACCGAGTCTCTCGTGTACGATAGACGCTTAATCGAATGTGAAGTTAATTATCAAATACTAACTTTAGATATATGACTTTCTCGATAGGCGACAATGTGCAACAAAGATACATTTGCATGCGGCATCCGGGTAATACATATTTAATTGTAAGAGAGTTATATTCGTTCTTAACTTTACAGGCGTATTGACAGATTTATTTCTATCGAGTCGTCTCTATCTCAGGATAGAATTTTCATTCCAATGAGGACATTGCTTTTATTTTACTAATTAGCACTCCGTACCGTGATTTATTGAAACCAGGTTAATTTAAGAAAGAAGAGAGAATGCCAGTTAAAATCTATAATTCCGTATCTTCTGTTCCCTGGAGCGAAGTGTGTTTACTTGAACCATGATTACTACTCATCTGCTTTTTATTAGATGCTTCGTGCATGTGAAAGAAAGACAATCGCCACACAATGTATTGATCTGTGATGCTGATCCGAATTAATAAATTTCTAGAGAATTAACGCACTGAATAGGAAACTTAAAAAAAAGCAGACAGAAACTCACCCTGAGGCTTCTGTGATGATTAGATTCTGCCACGTGCCTATTGTGCCATCCATCGATTCGACGCCCCTTTTTCGGATGCACGCGTGTGCGTACCACGCATGCTCGCATCTTAATCATGTATAGAACGTAAGACGAGAACCCAAAAACTAATCTCCTCGTGTGAGATGAGACATCGTTTGATTGAAGCGAGTCTTTGTAGATTCTTATTGTGGCATAAAATCGATGGAAGCTCAATAACTTTATTATCATTATTTTTAGGGAAAAGAAGAACGTTTGTTACGAAAGATCAATTAATATAATATTATACACGGTATGTATTAATCGTGTCATGATTAAGCTAACATTTTTCGAAAATGGGAACTGATTTGTTTAAATTGAGATATGTAATCATTTATATTTCTCTAAGCATTACTTGAAGATTATCAAAACACTTTTACGTTCAATATAAACTAAATATATATAAGTATTGATTACAATTTCAACTATTTTTAATACTGATAAATCCATTTAAATTATTTTTAAAGCTGATAAATGTATTATATTTGTTTAAAGAAATATAGCGAGTTTGGTGAAACAAAAATTAGCATATGCAGAACATATTAATAGGAATTAACGCAATGAAATATTTACAAGCTCAGAATGGCAAATGACTACGTCATAGCCAACGACTGTATTATTCTACGAATTTTACGAATGAATGTTTCGTATACTAATTCGTACAACATGCGGAACACAAATAATGCAGCGTGTACAATAAACAACGCATATAATATATAATCTATATCCAGAAATATCGTATCAATGCTCAAACAAGCATATCGGAAGCTAAATCGTCAAAGCTCTACAATCTAACGAGCGCGTACTTTACGCGGTGTCGCAACAACAGGAAACTAATTATAAATCTGTTTCTAACAACGCGCGTCGTACGTCATAACTGTGAGGCTCGTTGATATATCGGCGTGTGTGTGTACTTCCCTCGGCGGCCGACGTTAGAAACTATTTTTAAGTCGATTACGCGTAGCAACATCGGCGCGTTGCGCCACGCCATGACGATAGAAAGAGTTTAACGCGGGCACGCAGGAGCGTCAATAATATTTCGCGCACAATGGCCGCGGCTAATTCTATACTCGACGATCGTAATATGCCTTCCAGCAAAGGACGCTCCTAATCGTCTAATCACCGTAGAACGGCACCGAAGTGCGCTTCAGTCGTGATCAACCGACGGTTCGCCAACCCATCGCAAGGGGAATATCTGATTGATGATTAAAGGGGTGATGGACGGAACGAGGAGAGCGATGGAGTCACGAAGCGGGAGGCTAAGAGTAATCTTGACTGGACAAAGATTTCCATCGAGACACTCAGATTTGATTTTCAACCCCCTCGTCGTACCGTCCCGCACTGCGCGTTTTAGAGAAGAGCCGGGGAAGCGCTCTCTTCAGAGTGCGGTGACTTCGCCATGTCGAAACGATCGACTTGGGTTTGCTTTTATCGGGTTACGCAACGTCCACGAAAACCAGTCGGCTAAGTTCTTTGTCTACAAAGCCATCTGTCACCCCGAAGAGCCCGTGAGAGAGGGTGTGGGAAACGATGTGTGGGCGGCGGCGCCGATACGTATGTTCGCCAGGGCGCGTTACGCGTGTCCTCTCCGTGTTCGTGTGTACGTGCGAGCGTGGCGTGATATATACGTGTAGACGCTAGGCGTACGCCAATATGCGAGATACGATCGAGATAAAAGCGAGATAGCGCGACAAGTATAAGCGGACCTTTGGGATGTGTATCGGGTATTGATTTTCTCCGCACGGAGTTACGCCACGGGCTAAGCCGAAACGCGACGAAGTTTATTAATCCCGGGACAGCAATCTCGGTGGCGTCTGCGTGCCACGGCAAGACAGGTGAAAAATTTCAAAACACGGACTACTTGGTGACGATTCGTGGAGATGAAAATATTGTTCTTTATTGCCCCAGGTGAAATATTAAAAATTGTTACTGCGCACGTCAGAAAGACCCTTTGAGAATTCTCCGAAATTAAAATAATAAAATTCTTCATCTTCTCTCAATCACACGGTTCACGGTCATTTTGAGACAAGATTTTGCAATGTAAAGTTCTTCTATTATTTCTAATATCGCAAGTTAAATTCACTCTGTAACTTAAATCCCGGAGCTGCATAAATTGGCTAACTCTAGAGAGTAGACGTGGTTGATGGTGGAGGAAAGGAACGCTAGAAGATGGATAGGGAAAGAACGAGAAAGAGCGAGGTACGGGCACAACAGGGAACGGCTAATACATCATAAACTTGAGAACAAAGAGGAGAGAGGATGTCGAGGCTACGTCGGAGAATCCGCAAACTCCGACATCCTCGCGACGAAACTTTACCTATTTGTTAAATCTTGCCGACCGAAACTGTCTCAGATACTAGCTTCGAACAGTACCTCACACCTACGATCTCCTTGGCTCTCGTCCTCCTGACTTCTACTTCCTCGATCCTTCCCCGAGCATTCCAGTTGGAACAATGCAGTGAATGGAAGTATGGGTGGTCATACTTAGAGTTTCGGATAATAAAGTCAAGTTATCGATATTTGAAGCATGTCACAAATTAATTTCTTCATACAGGTATTTTATTATACGAGCTATATCATTATAAAAATAAATCGATAGAAATGAAAGTTGTAAAGAGACGCTTCAAATTGCAATTTATTAATGTAAATATACAAAGGATACTTTTCCATTTACAATTTTATGTGTTTCCGATTAAATAACCCGTTGCGCAAGGGAATGCCTTTATTTTTGGTTGTGGAGTATATTGCGAGGAATCTCTCTCTCGGTAGAGAACGCAGCGCTATATTTATATCGCCTCGATATTTATGCGCGATCGAAATTCGTGAACTTTGGCACGTGTGACGCGAGGCAAAAGCTCGTCGCCGACACGCGCGCGTTGCACAGTCCGTGCGACTGTGTTGGGGATGGTGGCGAGCTTTGGAGAGGGTTTCATTGTGACGACAATATCGCCTTGGGCGGCATTGGCGAGGTAGATATGCAAATTTCGAGAAGTACGGCTTAGTTCTCTGCAATTTCACTTTTACAAATTTGTTAATGTTTTGTTATGTGTGTGTGTGTGTGTCTGTGTGTGGGGTCTCTAAAAGTTTTTAGCATATAACAGCTTCTTCCATAAAATTACTTTAGCCGCGAAAACCGTATGAATAACAACAAAACCACTAGAGAACATTAAAGCAAAAAAACACTTAAATATAATATTTTTATTTTTTAAATTATTAAAAATTAAAATTTGAAGAATAGGCGAAATTAGCCATTAAAGATTCCGATGAAACGATATGCGGTTTAACGGGTACAAGTGATAACAAATTATAACTATAATAATAAAGTACATGTAAAAATATTTTGAGATATTTGGAGATGTAATTAATATAATTATTCTTTTTGTTTCAGGGGACGGCACCTTTCGCACCGCCACGGCAACGTACAACGTAAGTACTATATACCATTGAATATTAACTCAACTCGTGACAACCTCGCGACTCGGAAAACTTACTTCCTGTTCGCACGAAAAACAAAGCGGGATCGCCAATCGCCTATTATAATCATACCGTCGACAATTCCTCGTCGCTCTACGCCATTGCACGCATATATGAACACAGTCAGGGGTTGACAATGCAGCTCCGTATCATAGTGACTGCTTCGTCGTCGTGCGACGTCAAGACGTGATGCCGGGCGTCGAGTCATTGGAGAAAGAAAGAAGGATGTCAAATATGGCAGGGGGATGGGGTTAAAGGGGGAGACGGAGACGCTCTAAGGTACATAATCATGCTTGCTGACTCCTTCCCTAATAAGAGACTCACTGTCAGCTCGTCCCCACGAATCGACCCCTTACGCGTGCTCCACGTGCGTCATTGCGCTCGCATGACGGCGGTATACTATAAACGACTGACAATGAAAGCTTTACGATGCACTCTTCGTTCATCCGTGGATACGCAATAGTGATCCATAGTGGGTTGTTGAAGAATCGCTATCTGCGAGAGGCTTTTTACAATAAGCCATTAAACTTTAAGTCATAAACGTAAGAAATCGACCGATCATCGATTAGTCAAATATAATATGAGAAGAATAGAAGTCTTAAGATTTAGGTAATGGCTTATTGTGGAAAGCCTCTGAGATAACAAAAAAGGAGAGAGAAAAATCGTAGATAAGATACAATGAGAATTTCGGGACCGAATTAGAGATATTGGTATCACCTAAAACTGTAGTTTTTTCCAATCTTCTGATATACGCTCGAGGACGATGCATCTTTTCTTCATTATTCTTCTCATGTATCATCTTCTTCATTCGATGTATGACCATCTCCTCATGATCGTAGTAGGCGAAATGTTCTCCGATCCGCTTGAACAGCGATTTGCAAATTAATTTGGCTTTGTCGGTCGACTGTCAACACTATTCTGATCTTCCACGCAAACAACACGAATACTCTGCAGTTCACGTATGATCGATCGGTACTGGAAGGATTGTCTGACTTACGATAGTATGAATTGTTTCTGTGACTTTATTGAGCCGCATTGGATTATCACATTAAATATTTATTTTACGATAATACGATTATAAAAAAATCAATTAGGTGGATATAATTTATTGTATCGCTCCATCTGTGAGATACAATGGCAGATCACTTTTGCAGATAAGCGAGTCTTCTCAGATAGTTATTAAGACTATTGATTATTGTTATAATACAAATTGAGATGTGATCGTCCAGTTTGAGCTTAATTAAGGCTGAATGAAAGGATGCACGTGAGTGTAGTCGGAGATGAGAGAAGCTATACTATTCATCCGGCGGGTATCCTCGGTTAGCGACGGAAGGGACGCAAGGGCGCCTCGATGTCTTCGCTTCAGTGTCGATTTAAAGGGCCAAGCGGTCGAGGGTCCTTGGCCGGGACAGGTCTCAAGGTGTGTATCTCTGGTGGATTTAAAGAACCCTCACGGCGGAGCATACCTTTCAAACAGTAGTACAGGCCGCAGCCTGAAACCAGATGGCTTGATTCCCCACTTATGTGCTCTACCCACCTTCCTCCACCCACGTGTCTTATAAACCGATGGCGGTCTAAAACGTGAAAATGGATTTTCTCACCCCTCCTGCGTTCCCTCGTTCCCGATGTTTTTCCCTCTTTCTTTAGAAGCGATCGCTCGACCGACAAAACTCTCTCTCTCTCGCTCCCGCGTTCTCGCCACCCCCTCACGCACGTTAATAACGCATCTCGATGCGGGTCGGCGTCGAGAGAATGAAGGAAGAGCGTCGTTCGACATATGTTTCGGAAGTCATTGTGCGTCATGCGGCGAAAGACGATGTGTAGCGGTAGATCGCAGCCCGTGAACGGTTCTCCCGCTCGCGTACGTTATTAGTACCTTTAATCTTCCGTTATAGACGAGAGCCTCGAAATTGGTGCCGGATACCGTTGAGAGGATCGACCAATCTGCCGCGAACAGAATTCCGCACTTAACGACGGCCAGGGGAAGCGCAGGTATCGACAACAGTTACGTTTTTTTCCCCCTCTGATCGCTCCCTAATACTTTATTCGTTCGTCTAGGTTTTTTTTTTACTCTTTCATTGTGCCTCGTGCCGAGAGATCGTACGGTTTAAGCGCGCACGAGCGGCGACTCGAGTGGGTGGATAGCGATACGCCAAGGGATAATGCTGTGCATTGGTGTGCTCTGAGAAAACGCATAAATTCTACTTTTTACCGATACATTTGCCATAAAGTATTTTTATGTTGCCGCGGAAGCTGAAATTTTTAACACATAAACGAGGAAACCACTTTGATCGTTTTCATTCTTATTTATTTAGTATTTTCATTCTTTCGATCGAAATTACTTTTTTCTCTCGTAAGTGCACTTTAATTGATAATTTAACAACACGAATCGCGGCAGAAAAAGAAAATATGTTTTTTATAAATTGTTAATTAATTATTAATTTACTTTACTTGTAAATACACAACGACAGGGAATTATTTTTTTTTTTTAATATTAGTCAATTCGCAATTTAAATGTTAAATAATCGTAAAGATTTTTACGTGCGTGAGAATTTATTTTGATGACTGATGCAACGGGGGTGACACAACAAACGTCACGTAAGACATAATGAAAGTAGAACGCGTAGAATTCTAGAAGAGGAAGAGGCTGCGAAGAGGGAAAGATATCCCCAGGTGTCGTCGGTGGAAAAGCTGCGATTCGCCGAGCCACAGTCTGGCACGCGCTGCGAAGAAATGAGAAGAAGGGATGCTAACGTGTAAAGGGGACAGGGACAGGTTTTACAGGCTCGACATTATGTTTACCACACGAAACGCCCCCGCGACGCCTTCCCGGCAGGCCGGACCGGATGTCTCGTGCTGAGAATTAGTCGGATTTACGAGCGGCGACAAAAATCGCCTGCCCGGCCTTGCCTTCTCTTTTAACCGAGGCGTGAAAAGGCCGATCGAGACCTCGTTATTGAACGTTTAGAGATCATTTGAGAGATCACTTCTCGCACAGAAATACATACGTACAAAGCTAGTGACCACGCTCGTTTGCTAACCTTGTAAATCTTTTCTACTGTCGTAATTAGGCTGCCGTCGGTCCTTCACAGTTCGTAAAGATGATCGG